ATACCCTTCATTGCTAAGAATAAGATTCAAGTTACTGGTATAATTAAGGGTGTACCCCTGGATTTAACAATGGAAAATTTACTTAACACTTTATTGACCGGTCGTTTTTGAGGCTGCCAGTCACTAAGTACCGGCTGAGTCGCGCGCGCACTTAATCCCAGTACCGGCTAAATTTTCGCTATTCATTGTGTTGTGCTTATTCCTTTTGTTTTAAAGGAATGTAATTTTATTGATATTTATACTTTATTTTGCATTTATTTTATATAATAAAGGGCCGTATAAACTAACATTCTTAAAATAAATTCAAGGTAACAGTAATGCAATTTTTCGACAAGCATTGGCAATCGAAAAGCCTATTAATAGGCTAGCGGTCGATAAGCGTTGGCAATGAAAAAGCCGATAAATAGGCTACCGGTCGATAAGCGTTGGAAATCAAAAAGCCGATTAATAGGCTAGCGGTAGATAAAGTGTTAAGAACGATTGAAATCACCTAAGTAAAAATTAGACGAATTCTGACTCCTCACTAAACCTTAATCTTCCAAAGTAAAATTTAGCTTCAGAATTAAAGTCTTTCACCCCTGTCTAAAGGCCTTAGTCTTCTAAAGTATTTAGCTACAGCAATAAGTTTCAGCGACTAACTCTTGGCCCTCCAAACTAAGGCCGGATTATTATTAAAATAAGATATATCAAATAACAATTATTTTGTATATGTGTTTAGAAAGAGCTCACCTGAAAGATGGTGACCTTCTTCAGCACCGACAAATTCACGTGCAGGGCCAGCTCGGTCTTCAGCTTGTCCGGAAGTAGTCCCAAGGCTGTGTTGATGTCACCGCCGCCCTGTATCCTTCCTCGAGACCAGCTGTAGTCGTACCACCTGAGCACACGTCTCTTCATCCCTCCTGGTACTTTATGATGTCTCATGTAGGTCTTGGCACCGTCTAGAAGTCTCTCGAATTCCAGACGATTCGCGTTTCGATTGGTGATCACGTTGCCCACCTGGCCAACGATGGTGGCGAATATGAAGACACCGATCAGGTAGCTGACTATCGTGAAGACGTACCTACGGATCAGTAAGCGAGAAAAAGAGCCAATCAGTTCAAGGAGGATGTGATCAGTGGCCTCGGTTCATGGACGAGCGGCCCCCGCCGGAGCCTTTCTCCTCTTTCTCTCTTTATATTTCCCTGCTTTCTTATGCCTTTCGTTCTTTCCTTCTTACTTGCCTCCGCCTCATCGTTCTCTCCATCTCCCTTTCTTTCCTTCGTTTCTGCTTCCTCGTGTGCAGCCTCTCCTTCCTCTCAGCTTACTCCAACGATTACACACCGCTTCGTTCTCTGTTCGTTCGTTCGTGATATACATTCGCTCTTGCTCGACTCAGAAAAATGTACGGTCCACGATTTTTCGTGACATCAGGAATACCCGATATACAGGAACCCTAACTACGAACGATGATTAACCGATATCCATTATGCGAGCTGTGGAGACACCGAGCATGCTAACCTTCCTTAAGGAGAACGTTCCGGCCATTTTTATGCCATCATGACAACATATTCTGCGGGAGATATAAAAATATATTGGACCCAGACACAGGACCATATTGTGCCGTGTAAGTCCCAGATATAGGAGCAAACGTTTGCCGTGAAAATTTCAAAATCATTGGGTTCTTGATCCATCGTTATGATTATTAAGGTTCGTATTTGACTGATATATGTATGTATAAAATTTACATTTAATTGAATTTATTACTAACAGTATATCATTATTTTCACTTTTGGACAATCAAGAAATTCAGAATTAAATACTGTCATAATGATGGTGTCTTTGTGACAATTTTTGTTAGAATAGAATCTACGTGCTTCTTAATCGGTCGAAAGAGTGCGCACTTTTACGTTATTTCTTTTGTTTTACATTTTGCGATCGAGCCTCTAGTTCTTTTGTATTCTTTTATACTAAATTGTGTTTAAAATATGCAAATAATTTCAATCCACTGCACTTCAAACTCTGTCAATTTTGTAATATAATATTTACAGCCCTATTTTTGGTAAGAAGTATACTGATACCGTCATACCATCTAGGATAAAAACAAAACAGATAGAGTATTTAAATCGCCAAAAATCATACTCTGAAGTTTCAGTAATCATAATACGTAAATAATCGGAAATTTCTACTGACTTACTATTTAACTATGTGGACATACATGTATAAACCTAAGATTTGGTAAAATAGAAGTTTATTTACATGTTCAACCGATTTGTTTGAATAGTCATATAAGGATATTCTATCTGCACGTGCCTTCTGCGAATGCAGCTTCGGTAAATAAATTGTGGATTTAGTGAGTGTTGTACAAGTACCAATTTCGAAAGCTACTCTTGGTATATAATCTGGAGGATTGAGGGTTTGTTCTCGTCGAATATGGTCTGCGTGTAACAGCTGATGGTGAAGAATTCTTCACACAAGTGGATAACTGATTGCTACTGCTGTTGAAATTCCTTCCGTACTTGTTTCTAGAATTTTTACAATTGCCCTCTGGAGGCGGATACGAGAGTTTAACACTGACAGAGGTTAAAATAGAGGCTAAAAATATCAAGCTATTCTTGCAGCATGACTAATTACCAGAAGCAGAAAACTCTATACAATAGAAAACTTAAACAAAAGATTCTTTAAATATGTAAATCAATGATCCGTGTTCATTAGAATTTTTCTTCCATGTAATGAACACCAGTGACCTTTACTGATACATTTAAAAGACTATAGATTGCTAATACGTTTCTAAAAAATTTTACGTTATCGTAAAAATAAGATTTATTTATACCATGAAAATATGTATGAGTTTAATGACGCAAATAATTTTGCAATAGAGAATCTATTGTAAACTTTTTGTTCTTGTCAAAAAATGTGGTGAACATTAGCACAGTAAAATATTAATGAAACAATGTAAAAACTTGAACGTTGATCGCCCCTGATTCTTGTGCACGTCGCGTTTCGAATATGATTTCTTTTTTATTTTGTGTCGTCAGAAGATACGAAGGTGGGTATATTAACGAAGGTACTCGATCGGAGTCTAGATATATCTGCTAGTCAGGAAGCATTAAAGACTGTTAATACCAAGATGTCACTCGAGCAGGTAATAAACATTTGCTAATAATTTTTTGCTAAATTACCAACGTACTCGAAACGTCTAAAGAATCCACTTAGGATTTCGCTAAAAAAAACTTCTAACTCTACTGATTTTTGTAAGGCAACTGTTCTTTAGATCTCACACAAAAATTGAAAGTGGCAACTACAATAAGTATACACCATTAACTTTGTAAAGATTATTCATAACAAAATGTTAAAATTTGAGAAAAATAAAATAGAGGCAATTTACAGAAAAATTTACTTTTTCCATGAATGTGAAAGTCTAAAGACAGTTTAATTTTTGATTGAAAAATTAGTTACTTTCCCTCTTTTACTATTAGACGGTTGCATAGGCAAACACCGATAAAAGGATTTTTAGCTGCACTTTTCTTTTTTAGTCAAAAATTTCATTTTAAAATAGAATTTGGAATAAATTCTTGTTTCAAAGGTTACCCCGAATCTTATAGAACTTAAACTGCAATCTACATGCATTTAGACTGTTTAGTCTTTCAGAAATAAGTGTATATTTTTTACAATAGTATTTTACACTTTTATACAATATTATTACGTTTTAGTGTAAAGTCACAGAAGTGAAGTGTTCAAAATTGATTGCGAATGTTTATATCGACTCCATATCGGGAAAAAATAACAAAGTGTGAATACAGTGTCACCGTAACGAATATCTATCGTACAATCGGTTGTTGAATCGGTTTCGTTTGTATGAGTTGTGAATTGTTCAAAGTGTCTTGATTTTACAGAAATTCAAAGAAGCGGCGAGTGCGTTCAAAGCACTTCTTACGCCGCCAACGGAAGAAGAATATACGCAGTGTTACGGACTATTCAAACAAGCAACGGTGGGCGACGTTAACATACGTATGTTATTGCATCAATAAATATTTAAAAAAACGAATATAATATACAGAATGGTGTATCAAACTTGCTTCTATAAAATTTGACATATACGTTGCAGGAGACAGTTTCATAATATGTATCTCTCTTACAGATAGATTTCGAAGTCAGCTTTGTTAAATAGTAAAATATAAATTTTTCATTTAGCCTGATTTCTGAATATTTAACAGAATTTGAAAATTGGAGATTTGGGAATTTAAAATTCTGAAAATTCGAAAATTGAGAAATTTGAAACATTGGGAATTTAAAATTCTGAAAATTTGGTAATTTCACATTTGAAACATTGGGAACTTAAAATTCTGAAAATCCCAAATTTAAAGTATTGGGAATATTCTGAAAATTCTTGAGAAATTTGAAAAATTAAGAATTAAAAAGTTTGGAAATCTGGAAATTGAGAAATTTAGTAGAACAGAAATTTGACACTTCACGAATTTTAAAATAATGAAATGTCTTTCAAATAATTGTATCCTATTTCTTCCTATTTAATTTCTTGAAAGAGAATAATCGCAGAATCGTGTTAAGTCTCTACAGATTTTATACCGTTCATTTTTTTAACACAACTGAAATCCTACTATAATTGGAAAGAAATGTACTATGTATCGATGTCAACCCACGAGCTGACGCGCGAAGAGGCTGATACAGGATGAAGATCTACGGCTCCTATTGGTCAGAATAAAAAAATGGCCGCCTCACACGTATTTTCGACGGAACAATTGGCTCGAGAGATCACGCACATCAATTAGACCAAAAGCAATGTCGCAAACACCTCGAGAGTAAATGAGACAGTACGAATTATGTGGTGCAGTTGTTATTGTCATTATTATTCTTATTTGCCGAAATGTAACGCTGGAAGTGTTCACAGTGGATGTAGCTTCTTTTAATTTGAGTCGACCTCGCGCGTCAACTCGTGATTTGACACCTATCGAATAATTCACGTATGATATAAATATGTTTGATGATGTATGATTAAGAAATGCAATTGTTCCATATACAATTACAGCGGATCCAGGGATGAAAGATCGGCAGGAGAAAAAGAAGTGGGACGCCTGGAAGGGAAAGGAGGGTATGTCGAAGGACGCTGCGAAAGAAGAGTACATCAAGCGTGTTGATATATTAGTGAAAAAAGATGATGATGATTGATAATGCTCATTGACTTTCATACATGTTTTGTATGTCTATATGTATTTCACGATTTTTTAAATATAACTTTCTCAGATATGGGAGGCTGTTATAATAGTAGGTTAGGTTAGGTTTTCCTTGTACTTGAAATATTTAAAAGGCTTTTCAAAGCCTTAGATATTTTATATTACTTTTATATTTTTTATGTATGTTTAGAATAATTTCTTGAATGTTCTGTAAGGTAGTGAGGAGTTTTTTTATTCGTATTATCGCGTGGAAAAGAAATAGAAATTGAAAACTGTTTTAAATAATTCTTATTTGTTTCAATAAACGACGAAGATCGGTTGTGAGCTTGGTGGGAAGGAAATAAAATATGCTATTGCGCTGCCTTTTGCAATAAGCAACGATTACAATGCATAAACCGTCCGCCATTTTGATTAATTAGCCAGTTACGGCAGCTATTTGAATATATAGCATACATTTGAATATTCTTTCATATCCATTTGTTAGTTATACGCAGTAGTTCATTAAATTATTAATTAAAATTCATAAGTTAAATTTAAGTACAGAATTATGAGTACAGCTTGTTGTTTTCTAATATATATTATTACAATTATATTAATGTTATGAAGTTTAAAAATTATGAAAATTGAAAATTTGAGAAATTGAGAAATTTTGAGTTTCACGACTTGAGAATTTGAGAATGTGAACATTTGAGAAATCAATAAATTGTAGATTCGAGAAACTATAAATGTAAAAATTTAAAACTTCAGGGATTTGGAAATTTCAGTATATAAACGTTAGAAAATCTTAGAATTCTTAATTTCGAAAGATTGTAATATTTGAATTAATTATAGAAAACAAAATGAAGAAAGATTACTCATACCTAGTGTTTCTCGATAAAAAAAAGATAGAAAGTTAGTTTGGTTGTATAATGTTTAATTTAAATTTTACTTATAGTATAGTAATTTTATCCTACAAACATATCTTCAGAAATGACGAAGATACTTAACGTATATTCAGAAATAAAAACGAAATCCCTGCGTTATAGTTATTTCAAAAAATGTTTAAGGTTCCTATAGAAATTAGCAGGTTCCTAAACAGCACCAATATTTATAATATTTCAACACCTTTCAATGTATTAGAAATTATCACCGGATTAGAAATTAGTCGAATCGTTCCACGATAACTTGTTAGACATAAATAATCTTGGAACGATGTCACAGAAAATTTGTCCATGATGGCGTCGATACTTTGAAAAATCGGAACGTGTCTTCGACAAAGATCCTAACAAATCGAATCGTTTCACGCAAACGAGACTGAGGACAGCTTTATTCACGTTCATTGTGTTCAAACCTTTCATCCTGATGTTCTCCCTTCTGCTTCGTAGTGATGTACATTTTTCTGAGCGACTCCCCTTTTTTCTCATTTCATCCTTCTTTCATTTCGGTCACGCGTACATAACTACATGTATTTTCCCTGTACACGCTCTAATACACACATATACATGCATATAGGCACGCATACACATTATTGGCACATGTACTTACATACGAATAGATTCACATTTATTCGATATTACTGATTGTGAGTAATATAAAATTAAATATTGGAGGGTGTTGAAATGAACGAATAAAATGTTTCATTTCTGTCATATGTGTATAATTACTTATATGAACATTATACACATATTATTACTTGTATACACATGTACACACACGTACATTACACACATGTAAGACACACACACATGTACATTACACACATGTAAGACACTTACACACACACGTACATTACACACATGTAAGACACACACACATGTACATTACACACATGTAAGACACTTACACACACACGTACATTACACACATGTAAGACACACACACATGTACATTACACACATGTAAGACACTTACACACACACGTACATTACACACATGTAAGACACACACACATGTACATTACACACATGTAAGACACTTACACACACACGTACATTACACACATGTAAGACACACACACATGTACATTACACACATGTAAGACACTTACACACACACGTACATTACACACATGTAAGACACACACACATGTACATTACACACATGTAAGACACTTACACACACACGTACATTACACACATGTAAGACACACACACATGTACATTACACACATGTAAGACACTTACA